AAACGAACGATAACGTACACTCCAACCTACCCTTACCAACCCCCCCCCTACCCCTACCCCCCCCCCCCCCCCCCTAAAAAAAAAAAGAAAATAGGAAAAAAAAAGGAGGCAAGTACATCACGTATAAGATGAGTGCAACATCTAACAATATTACCTACAAGCTATCATCTATCTACAATAGATCAGCACAAATGAGTCCTAATACCCTCAACACTTGCATTTTCAAAGAAGAAAGAGAAGTCAATATTAGCTTGGGATTTTACATTTGGGCAGCTTGCAGCATTTTCCGTTTTTCAGTCACATCTATTTCTGTAGAAATCTTAAATGGGAGAATATTGAGGTAAAGAACATACAATTTGGATCTTTTTAGCTATAAGAGACCAAATATTGGTATCTGCTTCTGATATATGTCCCTGCTCTTTGTGCTTCAAAGAAAATGCAAGATCAACCACTTCTTTATCTTATTATATCAATCAAACTGGTATAGTAGACTTTCTGCAGTCTCCCTCTGTTTGTTCTATTGTCCTATGGCAGTTTAGATACCCTTGTTCTGTTAATGTTGAGCACTTAAAAGTTGCTGCATGTTAATCTATCTACCCTATTGCTGCACACCATTTAATAAAGTATAGGGATCAAGGAGTTGAACTTTTGAACTGTGTGTGATATAGTGTTATAGGAGAAATATGCCAAATATTTGTAATACCAACCTGCCTAGAAAATTTGCTACATAAAGTGGAATGTGGGTTGACAAGTAGGGGGGGGGGGGGGGTAGGGGGAGTTGATGTTACCTTCTTGGGAAGTGACTTGAGAGTAGCATTTTCTAACTAGTTGATGTGAGGCGGTCTGTAGGATAGTCTAACAACCATAGATTACCTCATGAAGACTTCTAAATTGTTGAGTTCCAATTGCTGGAACACTTCTCTATTTTAGGTCAATCCAATCATCACTGGAAATATAGCATTGGCTTCCTTGAGTTATATGGTGGCCTTTGCAGAGTTTAGGATTTTCAAATGTTTTACTATTGTAAAACATGTAAGCAACTCATGTTGCAGCAGACGTCATTGACCAGAGGGGGTTGCTCAGCACCCCCAGGGTCGTGGGTTCGAGTCACGAAAGGAGCAATAGCTCCAACAAAGGGGGATCAAAGGGGAGTCAAATGGGAGGTGATTAAAAAAAACAGACGTCATTAATATACATAATACTAAATGATTGTAAATATCATAAGACAAAAGTAAAGGCAGCACACTGAAATAATTGATGAAATCATGTGGCAAACTCTTATGACAAGTGCATTAATCAGTACCCCATGATAATAAATGTTTTTACTTGACAGGATGTTTTTGTTCCGATGACAAATGTAGTTCTTCAGCTGCTCAACTTAACCATTTGATTCTTTTAAGTTTGATGAGCCTTGGCTTTTGATCTGAAGGCAGAAACCACCTTTTTTCTGTTTTGTTAGTGTAGGAACCAGGATCTTGTTACATAAACTAGCAAAATATGCATATTTCCATGTAAAATTTGGTAAGGACTGAGCCTTGTATGCGTGTTACTATAGCAAATGAGATATGTGCTATGATATATGCTTCCTATGTACTTTTTTATCTACTCACCGATTGTCATGTGTACAAGCAAAATCAATGATTAAGCTTCCGTGTGGTATTTGGGAAGTTGCTCTGCTTTTCCATTCCTGATGTTATTTCCTTCTATCAATCAGATATGAAGTTGAGCGTCATTTAATGAGTAATTCCAAGTATAAATGTTTTTTTTTCAACGTAGACAGGTGTAGCTGGTTCTGCAACATTTTAGATGTTTTTTCTTTTGTACCTTAGCATGTCTCTTTCCCTTCCAGTTGAAAGGCAAAGAAAAGGAGCGACATCTGCAGGAAACGACCGCAGCTGCTGTTTCAAGAAGAGAATTGATAAGCTTGGCAGCTACAACATTAGGTGGACTTGCCCTTTTTGCTACTGAGCCTGCAGAGGCACTTGAAGTAGCTGATATCGGGAGTTCCCTCAAGGAGCTGCTGGGAATTTCCAAGGCCAAACCAAAAACTGGAGCGGAAAACCAAAAGAATCCAAAAGTTGAAAATGACAAGAAACCGAAAATGGATGACAAAGGGAAACCAAAGAGTGAAGGTGATTTAACGAAGCCAAAGGTAGAAGACAATGGGAAGAAACCAAAGAGTGAAACTGATGAAAAGAAGGCAAAAATGGAAGGCAATGTAAACAAACCAAAGAGTGAAGCTGATGAAAAGAAGCCTAAAATTGGAGATAATAAGAAGGCAGTAAGCCCTCATCACTCAGAGAAGGAAAAAGTGTTGCCTTCTTCTCCTGTTGCACCAACCCTTCCCAACATTTTGAATAAAGCAGTTCACTAACTTGTCACTAGAAATGTTGTTATGCTCAGATACATTTTCAAGAAACTTTACAGACTTTTCTTATGCTACTATTCATTGTAGCTTAACTCATGCCTAAATGATTACCTTAGACAAGGTTTGCATGGGTCAATGAGCTCAATGTCAAGACTATTGAAGTATTTTCAGATAAAAGATTTTCATTTTATCTTTTCATTAAATTACAAAGCCTTACATGATTGATATCATGCAAACCTCGTGAAAAAAAGGGGCTATAATGAAAGAAAAAGATTCATATAGATGATACCAATTAGTTGAGACTAAGTTTTAGTCATGTTAGTACGTATACTTTAGCTACAATGTTTGCTACGAATCTTTCAGTCTTGTTAGAGATTTATATGCCAACAGAAAATGTAAAGAACTCCTAACGCTAGACTCCAGGCAAGCAACCTGAAAGGACCAGACATAAACCACCTGCTAAGAAAATGGTAAATAAGACAAGCGATCAAGCTGGCACCTGCTAAGAAAATGGTAAATAAGACAAGCGATCAAGCTGGCAAGTCAGGGATACAAAGATGGATTTTTAGAGAAACTAATCTTTTATAATGTTGAATTAAGAACAGCGTAAGTGGGACATGGACATTAGGATTCAAATAGCTTATCTAACTTGCTTGGGATGGAATTGGAGCATGTTCTAGGATTAAGTATTGTTAGTCTAATGTAGAGCAAAGTGCATATAATAAGTTAACACCCATAAAATCATTTTATTATAGTGGAAACAACAAATACTTGTAATATCTCACTATAAACTACAAACAAATATAAAAACCAAAAAAAAAAAAAAAAAATCAAGCAGTTTTCTTGTTCATATTTTCCACTAGCTTACGCATTTGGAATCTCCAAAACAAGAAATAAGCTAATCCTAATCCAATCAATCCATATAACCAAATATCATCTTCTTTATTCTCTTCCTCGGATTCCACTTCAACTATACTAAACTTTTCTCTTTCAGCATTTCCCATTTTACCCTCCATTACATGCCCATATAACACATATACCCTATTCCGATCTCCTACTGCCACAGACGTAGGAAATCTCTCCCATTCAAGGGCAGTTTCGTCAAATACCACTCCCTCTCCCCACCCATCATTGCTCCTTAAGAAATACAACTTGTGTTGACTCACGACTAATACGACGCCATCTTTTCTAATTGCCATTCCATCAGCTGCCGTTAAGTCCTTGTTCAATCTAACGGTCCTTGCCGTTCCGTCATCAACGTCGACTTTGAACATTTTCCCCGTATTTGATTGGACGACTAGTAAGTAACCATTGGAGCTGTAAACGATGCCGTTTAGGCCGCATTTATGATACTCTGTGGTCGTGTCCACGGGATGGGATTTGTATGCCTTAGATTTAGATAAGACTAAAACGCCGCCGTTTATGTCAATTTTCCAGATGAAATTACCACCGGAGTTCGTGACGTAAGCATTGCCGGAGAAATCGACAGCAACGTCGTTTGCGACGGCCGAGTGAGCTTCCTCGGTGACGGTGTCGACGAGAGGGGAGAGGAAGAGGCGGAGGCGTGATCGGAGGTCGTAGGCGGCGAGGGCATTGAAAGGCTCGGGAGATTCTGGCGACGGCATGCGGTGGATGCAGGCGAGGAGGCGGTTGTTGCGGCGGTCGACGGTGAGGCCGAGGAAGGAGGAGTTTTTAGGGAGAGAGGCGTCGGAGATTAGAGTTTCAACGACGCCAGCGTCAGAGACGGAGAGAAGTTTCTGGCGGCGGGTGCTGCCGACGATGAAGTGCTGAGATTTAGGATCCCAGGTGAATGATTCCGGGTAGAGATTCCGTGATCGGAAGTTGATGACGTGGGGTTTTCGTGCGGAGGAAGGAACAGAGAAGGCGATGAATATGAAAAGGATAATTAGGGGTAAAGTGAGTTTCATGGTTTTCATTTTGAGAAGTTGGTGTCAGAGAGAGAGAGAGAGAGAATTTATATTTGTTTTCCTGCTAAATAATCAGTTTTATGCTAAATAATCAGTTTTGTGCTAAATAAAAAGGTTCTCTATCGCTAAATTGAAGACTAACTTTGTCTGAATCTATTGCTTGATTAATCCGACTTTTAATGACATATGGCTCCCTATTATTATTATTATTATTATTATTATTATTATTATTATTATTATTATTTTAAAAAAAGGTTCATTTCCTTGAATGGACCGAGATCTCTGATTTTAATAATGGCCGAATAGATATGCAGACACTTAAAGTTGGCACAATTTTTTCCATTTAGACATCTAAACTTAAGGATATTCCTATTGAGCACTTATATTATTCTAAATTTATTTCAATTAGGCACTTTTTTGATAATTAGTCAAACTTACAAAGTCTGTGCAATGCACTCGCTGCTAACGTGGCGAATGACAAATAAAAAAAAAGATATATATCATTTTGAGTTAAAAAAAGAAGGCAGAATACATAACTGGGCCCTTAAACTTGACCCTTTTTGTCACTTGAAACTTAAACATAGAGTTGTTCCTATTAGGCCCTTCAACTAAACCACATTTGTGCCAATTAGATACTTTGTAGTGACATAATTGAGTGCGTGAGAAAAGACGCGTGAACATGAGAAAAAGGTTGTGATTATTATTTTATAATTATTATATTCTAATATATTATTCCACTTAAAGCTAATTTTTACCCTACATTCTATTTCTCTTCTTCTTCCCGTGAACCCATCATTTTTCCTCTTAATTTTTTTTTAAAAGAAAGTATAGTGTACATGGATTTGACTATTCTCATTTGGCATGCTTGTTCTCTTTTAACGCTATTGGAATAAAACTTTACAAACTAAAACACACAAGTGGTTGATAGAAGTTGCATTTTGACATTAACAACTTTTAACAAAAATAGTACTTTCACAAAAGAGCAAAGCTGTCAAATACACAAATGCAACTATTTCATAAGCAAAGAAGAAAGCCTTAAAAGCTATCAAATACACAAGTGCAGCTAATTACATATCCAACGTTAATTTTTATAAAAAATTTTCTCAGATGGTCTACAAAGTGTCTAATTGGCACATATATGGTTTAATTGAAGGGCCTGATAGGAACAACTCTATGTTTAAGTGTCCAAGTGACAAAAAAGATCAAGTTTAAGAGTCCAGTTATGTATTTGGCCAAAAAAGAAAAAAAATATTTTAAAATCTATTTAGTAAACAAAATAACATAACATTCTCAAAAAGAAAAAAAAACTTTAATTTACACCCAATCAAAAAATGGCACATTATTAACAAAAGAAAAGACAAAAAAGGACATATTGATGTTCTTGAAATCATTGTTCTTGGTGTTTTTCGCTATCTTAATGTGTATTCTTGTTCCGACCACGATTTTAATCCAAAATTTCAAGAGAAACTCCTCCAAATTTGTTACAACTTCAGCTAAAGATTCCCCACGAAGACTCGAAAGAATCCCAATATTAATTTCTCAATTTTTCATCAAATCAAGTAACCCATTTTAAATCTTCAAGCTTTCTTAAAGACTCCATTAATGGTGTTTTGACTTCAAATGAAGAATACGGTCTCACTTCGGTTTCAATCAACTGAGACGATTGTTGGTTCAAACTTTCGAGCTAAATTAATGGTGGAGGCACAACAATGGTGAAAGTGGGGGAGACAATGGTGGAAGTGATGGTGTAGAGAAAAGAAGAAGAAGAAGAAGAAAGAAAGAAATAAAAAGATAAAATGTATTTTTTGAGCTCTTCACGCGCTTATTTTGGGTGAAGTTCACTCTATGTGCCAACTCAGCAAGAAGTGTCTAACTGAAAACGTTTAGGGTACTATAAGTGCTCAATTGGAATACCCTTAAATTTAGGTGTCTAAATAAAAAATAATGCCAATTTTAAATGTCTCCAGATGTATTCAGCCTTTGATAATTGTTAGCTTATCTTTGGTTTTGAATTTCTTTGATCTTGTTCATTAGCTCAGTAGAGCATAGCGTAACATTTGAATATAAGCTTTTTAAGGAAAAAAAAACTTGTTAATGAAAATTAAAGGGAATAGAACGGTAAAAAATACTCTATTCGGTCCAAAATAAGTAATTTTTTGGCATTTTTTTGTGACAAAATAAGTAATTTTTCTGGATTTCAAGAATGAATGAATTATTTTTTTTCCTACATTGGCCTTGGAGTAAATAGTGTTTGAGTATGTGTTAGAAGTGTTTATGTGAGATAGTAAAGGTTAATATGGTCAATTTCATTACTAATTAATGTTAAAAGGTGGATCTCTTAATTTGTGTGAAAACATTCAAAAAATTACTTATTTTGGACTGGAGGAAATAGAAAAGATGATTAAATGAGTATCGTAATAAATTAATTTACTTAAGGTTATTGAAATTAGTTGTGCAGCTTTAAGACATACGGTAGAAGAAATTATAAACTATATCTAACAAATTAGATAAGATTAAACGGTTGGACTATCGAAACTATACAGCTAGAAATGCATGTAGTTTCATGCACTATTTTCATGGAAAACTTTTACTCGAATGAATGCAAAATATGTGTAATTATAATATTGCTTTGCAAAAGCTTAAAGTATTTGTATATATTTGTATCCTTTTCGTTAATACGCATTTAACATGCTTTACAAAGAGTATTTTACATGTAATGAGCTCTTAACTAGGAGTACTATTTTTTGGTTGGTTTCTCATATTATCATAATGCAATATCTAGTTACTTATTTTAATATGCTTAACAATGCAAATCAATGATGACATACATATATTATGGTGTTTTTGGACACAAATGTGACTTAGAGCATGTTTGGATTGGCTTGTTTTAAGTGTTTTTAAGCCAAAATAGCTTTTAAGTCATTTTGTAGTGTTTGGATAAAGTAAAAAGTGCTTTTAAGAACTTGTTTTTAAGCTAAAATGACAAAAACAAGCCAAAAGCCAAAAGCTAGAATTCCTAACTTATGGCTTCAAAGCTATTTTGGCTTAAAAGTCACTTAAAATAAGCCCATCCAAATGGGCTCCTAATTAAAACAATGGTCACTTGATTATGAGGCTTGAATCACAGGTCATCCCAAGTAGAGGCAGCTTCAAGTACCTTGGGCTGGTTATCCAGGGAGGAGAGGAGATCGACAATGATGTCACACACCGTATTGGGGTAGGATGGATGAAGTGGAGATTAGCATCTAGAGTATACACAAAGATAAGTTCTACAAAGCGGTGGTTAGACCGGCCATGATGTATGCGGCTGAGTGTTGGCCTGTTAAGAACTCACATGTCTAGAAGATGAAGGTAGCATAAATGAGGATGTTGAGGTGGATGTGCGGGCATACTAGGCTGGATAAGATTAGGAATGATGATATTCGGTAGAAGGTGTGCGTGGCTCCCATTGATGACAAGATGCGGAAAGCGAGGCTCAGATGGTTCGGGCATGTTCAGAGGAGAAGCTCAGATGCTCCGGTAAGGAGGTGCCAACGGCTGGTTGTGGAGGGCATGAGAAGAGGTAGAAGGCGGCTTAAGAAGTATTGGGGGGAGGTGATCAGGCAGGATATGGCGAGGCTCCAGATTTCCGAGGACATGGCACTTGATAGGATCATGTGGAGGGCGAGTATTAGGGTTGAAGGTTAGGAGGTAGTTGAGTCTTGCCTTACGTCATTACTTTGAGAGACTAGTCTGGTAGGGATACTATTTCGCTTTTGCTTTGTATCTTTCTTCTAGCTTTCATGTTGTTCCTATTTTTCCTATGATTTCTGTGGTATTACTGATATTTTCTCCTTTTGTCTTTTTGTCTTGAGCCGAGAGTCTTTCGGAAACAGCATATCTACTCCCTCGGGGTAGGGGTAAGGTCTGCGTACACACTACCCTCCCCAGACCCCACTAGTGGAATTTTACTAGGTCGTTGATGTTGTTGTTGTATGTACGTATTTTTTAAAATTAGTACAATATTAACTGTTGGCACCCATGTTGCAAGAAGGTAGAATGGTGCACTTGGTTGAAAGTTAAGTTATTTATTAAGAGGATTAGGGATCAATTTTTTCTCCTTTTTTTAGTAGTGCACCCATATACTAGATTTCCTAGTCCGCCTCTATAATATATGGCGTATAATTAGGTTCTAGAACTCAAAATGCTTGGTCGGTTGTTACAAGATTCGAGTTAGTTTTAGTTGTAATTTCAAATTGAAACTCCAATAAGAAGATGCCACGACCCAATTTCTCCTATAGGACGTGATGGCGCCTAGCGTTACCACTAGCAAGCCAACAATGAACTAACCATGTGATTGTTCCTTTTAATAATTTAGATATAGTTGATATTTAATCATAAGATAAGTAAGAAGTGAGAAATTTAATAAAATAAAGAGTAAACAATTATAAGAACACATGTGACGAAATAAATACTCAAAAGTCATCAAGTGTCTACTACCATAAATTTCAAGACCTGGTGTCACAAGTATATGAGCAACTAGTAGAATATATAAAACTCTAACTAATGTCTGAAATAAAATAGACAGAAACTAAATGCAAAAGAGAGGCTCGGGGTGCTGCAGAACGGCTCAGGAAAACAACTCACCACTAGGCCTCGGGGTATCAGTGGTACGCGCTGGTATGACTGCCAGATGCACCTGCCTCAGATCCTGCACGATTAGTGCAGAAGTGTAGCGTGAGTACATAAAATATATGTACCCAGTAAGTATCCAGTATAACCTCGAAGAAGTAGTGACGAGCTGTCGATATCGACACTTACTATGGGCCAACAAATATAATACAGAAATACTAAAGAATCATGGAATGTGTAAACAATAGTAAGAACTCAATAACAAGCAGTGAATGAATAATTCTTCGACTAATATCAATTCCCAAATCAAGTTTTAAATTAAAGAAGTATAACCTGTCGAGCCATAACATAATATCAAGTATACTTAGGCTTCGAGTATTGTCACGCACGATTTATGCCGTGTCATACGGTCTGATCCCAATAATAAAATATGTGCACTACCGAGGGTCGAACGATACGAACTATAGATGCATCTATTAACCTGCCGAGGCGAACAACCCGCTCCCATGAGAGTAGAGGAATTTACCT